GGCCTCGGCTCCACCTCAACCAAGTGGTAAGAAGTTGACCTGGTCGGAAAGACAAGCACAAGCGAAGAAGCAAGCCGAAGAGGAAGAGGCAAGCTCTAAAGCTGCCAGTGTAGCAGGTGAGTCGGGCATTGACCTGGCTCACGACAGCTGGTGTTGGTGCAGGTACCGCTTCAGGCGCAGCTGCGGGAGCTGCATCCGCTGCCAGTGCCCCTCCTCCACCTCCGGCCCCGCCAGCTCCACCTGCTCCAACTGCCCCCGCTGCCCTCCCTCCTCGACCCCGATCGCCTGATTCCGACGAAGACGCCAATCAAGATGAGGACGACTGGGGCGACGCGCCATCAGCTCCCAAGGGCGAAGTGTTCAAGCCCGAACCTGTGGAGGACGAAGATGGTGGTGTCGCCGCGCCACCACCTCCACCTCCGCCCCCGCCTCCTCCACCGCCTCAGGCTAAGGACCCGGTGAGCTTAAGCTGGGAAGCGACCGTTGACAGATTCCTAGCAAGTCGAAGAACTCGAACGCCTGAAAACGGATCTCACGCTTGAGGAGGCGCCTGGAGCTGGCGCGCCACCACCTGTACCTATGGCTTCGAGACCGGGTCCTGCAGCCCCGCCTGCTGGTCAGAAGGCGAAAGCAGTGTATGATTATGAAGTGAGTAAGGGCGATAGCAATGCTGACGTCTTTAGGCTGCGGAAGAGGTGAGATTTTGCTTACGACCCCACTGACCCCTAAGGGCGAGATTGGTTTCGCGGATGGCGAAATCTTGACTCAAATAGAGCAGCTCGACGAGGGTGAGTCCGTCATCCGCGCCGCTCGCTCAAAAATTAGGCTGGTGGTCTGGAACAAATGCCAACGGACAATCTGGTCTATTCCCCGCTAATTATGTCGAGTTGATTGAAGACGATGGCCCTGCCGAGGGAGAGGCACCACCTGCCGCCCCTCCTCCACCTCCGGCACCCCCGGCGCCCCCGGCTGCACAAGCTGCAAATAGGGAGGCGGAGGAAGAGGAAGAGGGCGAAGTCATGGTCGCGCAATACGAGTGAGCATCGCCGCGACTACCCTGCTGATGCTACTAGCTATGACGCGGCTGAAGATAATGAAATCTCGTTCAAAGAGGGCGAACGGATCACAAATATTGACAAGGTGGATGCCGATTGGTGGCAGGGCACCAACAATGGCAAGACTGGTTTATTCCCAGGTGGGTGCGGTGGCAAAGTCTCGACTGACTCTCTAGCGGCTTATGTGTGCGCGCCTGACGAGTACCAGCCATCATAGCGGACACCGATTGCCCCGGAGTTCTGTGTAGCGTAAAGAATCAGGGCCTCTGTATACGGTCCCAAATGAATGCACGAAGTGTCTATGCACACGTCTCTGCATGGCTACATGAGTGTATGGAAAAAATGTCGTTAAGTTTGCCCTCAGCGAGCTTGTGTAGAGTTGGAGTTCTGTGATGTCGTCGTGTCGTTTTGTGGAGCTGAACGATAAGCGCTGGAGACTGACATCCGCTCACTGTAGTAATTACCCCACCCGCCGCTATTGTAGTAGGCCTGCGCTGCCGCCTGATCCCATCCGCCGTTGTGAGTTTCTCCTTGACCCGGCTGACCCGGCACCCCTGTCTGACCATAGTTATACCCTCCGTAATACCCGTACTGTGGGTAAGCATTTGCGCCAGGCTGTTGCTGAGCAACGTCAGCGGGGGGACCAACGAGCACTCACCATTGGGTACGGAGACTGGCCGCCAGAGCTCGACCCCTCCGCCTTGTCCTTACCCCAAGAACACCGGATCGGTCTACCATGAACCAGTTGGTTTTGCAAATGTGTAATGGCCATGGCGGCATTGTGGTGTGAGTCCAGCTTGACAAATGCGAAACCTCTATCGGCCTGCATACGGATCTCGACGATGTATCCGTATCCCTGAAATAATGGCACCAGATCCGCTTGCGTGGTATACGGGATAAGGTTTCCGACATAGACTGTCGAGTTGAAATCTGGGACCTGGCGTGAGACCGAATCGTATGACATGGGTTGAGAATAGGAACCACCGGACCCAGATGCTGAACCGCTCATTGGCTGGGCCAAACCAGTCGCTCCTGATCCCATCCCCAATGGCGTGGATGAAGACCCTTGCGGCGGTGAGGTCATTGAGGGCATCGGTGGCATGCCCATGCCGCCTGGTCTACCTCCCCCTGTCTGAGTCTTCTGATTCGCCCAGTTGACACGGATGGCTCGGGAGCCCAACCATTCGCCGTTCATTGCATTGATGGCCTGTTCCGCGTCCGCTTTATCTCTAAAAGGATTTCAGCGAGCACCAGGACATCGCTCCGAACTCACCTGAAAGACAGAAAGCCATACCCTCTGCTCTTGCCCGAGTTCATATCCCACATGACTCTTGCTTCGCTCATGGTGCCAAACGCGCCGAAAGCCTTTGCCAACACCTCGTCATTGACTTCCGGACTGAGATCGCCAACAAAGACGTGATAATGATGTTGTGTATCCTCCTTATTCTGTTGGCCTTGATACGCCCAGTTGACCCTCACTTCCGCTTCGAAAATCTTTCGTCCGTTCAAGGTCTGAAGAGCCTGCTCTGCAGACCGCATGTCCGTGTACTCGACGAAGCCATAGTTGAACCCTCCATGTTGGAAGTTTCTATCCTGTATGATTTTCGCAGTCACGACGGGTCCAGCGACTGCAAAGATTTCTCCAAGCATGTATTCGGTGACACGAGGTGACAGGTTGCCAATGTAGAGATGAGGCTTCTTCGGCGCATCGATAGGTTGACCCGTAGTGGCATTGTATTGCTCGCCTCCAAACGTGACCGGTGCGCTCATAGTGTATAAGATGCGATTGTGTTTGCGGTGGGATGGGGGACGGACACTGAGAAGACAATTGGAAGGCCGGAAGAGAGTGGAAAGATCACACCACGTATCGCAATGAGCCCTGAGAGATGGAACAGAGAAGAAAGAAGCCCACGACAGACCACCAAGAACAGTAGGATAACCCACTCTCAACTTGCGAGGGATGATCGCACGGCTAATGGTTAACTTTGGCACGATAAAAAGTGCCACATGTCTTTTACTATGCATCGGCGATATCTTTCCCCTACGCTACGCGGCTCGTCCACCTCCCCGTCCATTCCACGCACAGTGCATTGATTCATTGCTTGACTCACGCCTCAAAGGTGGACAACGATGGTGAGTCACGGGAGAAGTGTCGCGCTGACTTTCTCAGGTGGTTCTTGCAGCATCCATCTGCACCAGGAGCGGGAAACGTGAGCCCAACCTTGCTGGTTCTATCTGACCACCCGCAGCGCTCCTGTCCCGACAGTTCCGTCCCATGCCACGGTCCCGAGTGGACGGTCTGCTCGCATCATTCCCCAAACTCATCCCTGTCAACTCACAACACACCACAGTCGAAACGGCGGACGTTCGCTTCGTGTATCAGCCATTTGAAGAGCTCTATGTCTTGCTGATCACCAATAAGGCGTCAAATATCGTCCAAGTGAGTCGTGCGTGTCGCCAGATGCTTATACCCAGGACCTTTCCACGCTCAACCTCCTCGTTCGACTCATCTCCTCCTTGACCCCCGCCATGTCAGAACCCGCCATTTTACATCACTCATTCGACCTCCTCTGCGCCTTTGATGAGGTTGTATCGCTAGGCTACAAGGAGAACGTGTCTCTCACCACGGTCCGCAACATTTTAGAGGGAGAATCCCACGAGGAAAAGATCCAAGAGATCATTGCGAGGAACAAAGAGGCAGAAGCGAAAGAGGAGCTAAAACGAAGAGCCAAGCAATTGGAAATGCAGCGGAGGGAGCAACAGAAGAGGGCAGTCGGAGGTGGTGGATTCGGATCGTCCATGGGAAGTGGCATGGCGGGTGGATACCAATCCGCGCCCCGGTTTGAGGCGCCCGCTATGCCCGAATACAGGACACCGAGCCCCGCGCCTGCGCTCAGCAAACCTGCGTTCAAGGGCAGTGGCATGAAGTTGGGCAAAAAGGGCAAGCAGTCTGAATTGAGCTCCCTCTTGAGCGGAGAACCGGAACCGGAGCCAGAGCCAGAGGTGCACGCGGCGCCAGAGCCAGAGCCAGTGGCCGTGTCCGCAGACGTCCTGGAAAAGGTCGATCAGGAGAGGTGAGCGGACGTTCAAGCTCCACGCTGACAAATCAGCATTCACCTCACAATCAAAGAGCAACTCTCCGTCACCTTGCTACGCGATGGCGGTGTCAAATCGTTCGAGCTCAAAGGAGATCTAGACCTTCGCATCGCTGAACCTTCGCTCGCCAAGCTGCGGCTGACATTGGCACCGAATGATTATTCCGAGCTGCAGTTCAAGCAACATCCCAACGTTGCCAAATTCTCAGGCTCTGAGAAGATCATCGCGTTGAAGGACGCAAACAGGAGTTTCCCCGTGGGTCAAGGTCTGGGCGTCTTGCGTTGGCGAATGAGTGCGAAGGATGAGAGCAACGTGCCGTTGTCAAGTGAGTGGGCATTGCTGCCGGTTCTAACCTCTAGTCACATGCTGGCCACAACCTCGGGGAGACGGGACCTCCGACGTGGCTATCGAGTACGAGCTCGAAGCGACCCACTTGACTTTGCGCAACGTGGTCATCTCCATTCCGATACCGACGGATTCCCTTCCATCCGTGACTGGTGATGCGGATTGGCGTGCCGAGCGCAACGCCTTTGTATGGACTATCGACACGGTCGACAGCGAAAACCCGAGCGGATCTCTCGAGTTCAAATGTGATGGAGACGCAGATGCCTTCTTCCCTGTCTCGGTGGGCTTTGTGGCTGCAGGCTCTTTGGCCAACCTCGAGGTGAGTCAGGCGACTTGAGCTGGACTGATGATACAGGTGTCCAAAGCAGCATTGGTGGCGGATGGATCAGAGCAATCATTCTCGCAGGAAAAGATTCTCACTGTGGACAAGTACGAGGTTGTGTAGATACGATTTTATGCATTTGACACGATTGCGGAGATGCCGAAGCGGCAGATGACCGGAAACCATTATTCTTAATTTCATTCACGCTGCTTCTACTCATTCTACTACTCTTGCCCCCACACCATGCTAGACAAAATCCCACCCGAGGTGCTCACGCTCATCGCCTATCATTCATGCCTCCCGACATTGCTCGCTCCATCAACCCTGCTGCAAACGTCACGCGTCATTAGAGATACTATCTCGCCCTCGGCCAACCCTCGGCTATACGCTAGATTGTACAGGACTGCTTTCGACACTGCCGCGATCGAGCGAAGGCTAGGCGAGGTCAATGCGAGTCAGTATACAGTTGAGCTGCAACGTCGAGTCTCGTCTCTGTACAGGTTGTCACGGATGGTCGATCGTGGCGACCTGACTGCGATTCGAGATGAGGATGTGTGGACCATTTATCTGATGTTAATTGAGAATGGTAAGCTAGAGGGTAGAAACGAGCTGATGGACTCTAGACGGGAAGAACCTTGAACAGCTCCTCGACCTCAACGGGATCCTCCATCTTCCGACGTTTCTCCGATTGTACCATGAGCAGCACCTTTTGGCACCTGCCCTTCAACCCGGGTACCCCGCCGAGAATATTGGCAGGTCATTGATCATGTGGATAGGCTGGCTTCTGAGCCAACACAGTGAGCCGCATCGTAAAGCCTCTCTAACATCAAGACTCTGGTGTTCCCGAACCCTCTGTCGAACGTGATGAACGCTTGTTTGTCCTCCGACCTTACGTTTTCGCACCGCAGCAATACGAGGCGTACTTTGCTCCATGGACCATTCTCAATCTACCCTTGTCGTCCACGACGCCGCGGTCCTCTCGGGCTAGTCCCTACATAGCCGACCTGTCGCCAAAACCTCGAACGGTGGCTATCAACTACTTTGGCAAAGACACGAGTATCTGTCCCCCGATCCTTTCGCATGCGGCCATATTGCGTTTCTTCACGCAGGCAGAGACGTCCGGCAGGATAGCCAAGACCGCTCGTCCCGCGTCTGAGAATAATGTCTCAGTCACAGAGTCAGACTCTGACGATGATGATCTGCTCGTTGCCCAGCGCAAAGACCTCCTTTCCAGCTCCCTCCTACACGACCGCGATTTCGGCCGCCTTTTATCATGCCACGACCCATTCACCTGCCGTGGCCTCAAACCATCCTCATGGCGTGGGAGTATGGAAGGGTGCTGGGAGGGCAATTTTTCCTTTTTCGACTTTGACGCGTTCAGGGAGATGCTCGCTGGTCAATCGAGAGCATTGTATGCCGGTGAATTCGGAGAGCAGCATCAGGTATGGAGACTGAAAGAGACATTCGTTCGGCCAAAGAGGGAACAGCTGCAAGGACGCAAGGGCAAATCCCGTGCGCCACCTCTAACTGGACCCATGACCAATGCCGGCTTCCCCACCGACGTACCCTCGAGCACCGATGCAGGACTCGACACTGCACGAGCCGAAGTGACCACGCTCAACGCGACTATCCGCCAACAGCTGGACGCCATGGTGGGGTACGAGATCGTTCCGGAGAACGAGATGGATACGGCAGTGGACGAGGATGACGGACTCGAAATTCTCGTCACCGGTGTCGGGCACTCTGCATGGGGACGCTTCATTCTTAAAGGTCGGGTGCGGGCGTGGGACGGTCTAGCATCACTGGTCAAGGAGTATGCAGTGAGTTACAGTACAAGTGTCAATGGTCTGACCAGACCAGCCCGACTCTCGCGGCAAGTGGATCTACCGAGGCTACGTGGTCGCTGGAGACACTTTTGTTGGACGTTGGCGTGATACGTTCACGCCTGAAGCGTTTATAGGGTACGAAGGGACGTTTATCCTCAATCGCCGGTGATTCGACCTTGAATTACCTTGTCCATTCGTTCGACGACGCGAGTTGTCCGGTCCTTGACCACGCGGTCCATTTCCGTCTTCAACACGCCGCAGCCTTCGACGCCGAGTGTCAACATTTCTTCGAATCGATCGACGTGCAGACGGGTCTCCATTTGAGCTAGAGTGACTTTTCCGCTGGGCAAAGCGGCAACGACGAGTGTAGGGAGGTCTGCTTCTTCCGGTGCGGATAGATCCAAGAGGGGTTGTGTGAGATGCAGACCGAGAGAGAGTGATGTCACATAATCGATGAGTGATATGCCAGCGTCTACCAGAGCCAAAGTCGTGGCGTTGATTGCGGTGGGCAGTATGCCTTCAGTGTCAGCTTGGATCGATACTTGTGCTCACCCCCATCGGCTGAGATGACTTGAATGTGAACTGCAATTTCGGAACGAGGATACAGATGGGTCATGATCACAGGTTCAAACGTTTGTCGAATAGCTGCGGCGATCTCTAGCAGTCGTCTAAAGTGAGCTGAAACTGTAGGCTCCTGGACTCACTTGTCCCCTCGTGTCCGTCTCACTTCGCGTGCTCCTGCCCAAGGTGCAACTCCCACCTCCACGACGACGCTCGCCTTGTCGTGTACACTTCCGGCTCTTTGCTTAGGTTCCCTCGGTCCGAAGACGGACGCTGAGACGGTCGTCAGACCTTGAGACACGGTTGAAGAGCCATCGGCGTTTGGGTGTGTAGATAGCTCAAGACTTAGCGAGCGAAGCTCGTATGGTCTCCTAGCGTCATGACGAAGGCCTACAAGTTCAGTTCCCCATCCAGACAGCTCCACTCACCCCCGTCGTTCAATATCTCCAACCGTGAGCTCGCCATGGTGATATGATGCAATGGAAATTTGGGTCTGAAAATTGAGCCTCTTTGACGGTTGCTGCGGAATTCCCTGATACGGTCCGGGGACCCCGATAGAGTGTCACTTTGCTAACCCTTGTCTCTTGTCTTCTTCTTATAACTGCATCGTGAGGACTGGTAGATTGAGGGCTACAACAGTACCATCTGACGATCCAACAGCTAGGCCACGACGGATGACCTAGTCTCGCCAGGCGCACCCCATACAGATCCCTTGGCGTCCGGTCTGACGACCATGGAGTCCGAGTCTGGCGAGATCCATCGCCATCATCATCATTCGCATCGAAGACGAGCGGCCGAAGAGAATGGAGAGCATAGACATCACCGTAGGCGGTCTAGAAAGTCACTCGAAGCCAACGGGCATGGCGACTCGTCAGACCCTAGGGGAAGCCTGGGCGTCCACGTCCGGGTACATACAGTAGAGCAGTTTTGGAATGGCAAGTGACCCCCACAGAAGAACTCTGACCCCTCAGAGATTGAAGCTATCGTGACTATCCCAGAGAATTGCAATCTTGCGCAACTGGACAATACTCTGCGGATGTTTGTGACGTTTTGCGCTGCTTATCATGGTGGGTCTGAGCTCTCGACACAACTGACATTACAGATGAATATCTCCCTTCACCCCATGAGATGCACCATGTCATCTCCCTTCTGCTCGACTGTGAGCTCTTCACCTATCACTATGAGCGGATGGTCGGCCTCATCTTCGATGATGCGCAGGAGGTGAGCGAGAGAGTCATTCGGAGCTGATCTAGCCAGAACACCAACCCACATGAATTGTATGTCCTGTATCACATCATCCTCTACTATGGTCATCGTCGACCATCCCTTTTCCGGTCTCATCGCAAATGGAAGAAGCTACTCCCGACGTTGGGCGAAGTCGTCGGCGTAGATTCGGATGAGGTGGGTCTCGATCCTAAAGCGAAGCTCATGTCAGACCTTCGTGTCCGGCTTGCCGCCTATAGAGTCTCGCGTGCGACTACCAGCCACCGACCTCATGTACGAAGTCTGTCGTGTTCAGAAACTCTCTTCGAACGAGCTAGAGCAGTTTGACGACGCTTTCATTGATCGACTGTTTGAGCTCGTCGAGACGACAAGAGACAACCAAGATGAGCGGCTCAATTATGCCGTCATCCGACTCATCGTGAGCTCCAATGCGTGCCTTTCTGACACTCGCAGGTCGCGCTCAACGAACAGTTCATGGTCGCTACGCTGCCACACAAGTCCAAGCCCACCTCACCCACCTCGTCAGCGACCTCACCCACATCGCCACAATCGGCAGACCGACTTCAGTTGAACGGCATACCATCTCGCATCCATCCAGAACATCAACGCCAGCATCAGCGACGAAACACAGGCCCAGATCCCCTCGGCGATGCACATGAGGATGCGAAGATGATGAATCGAGTCCTCATGGTCCTGATGAAACGTCTTGGCAGCAGCAAGACGTTTGGAGAAAATGTCATCTTCATGCTGAATCGAGCGAGTGAGTCTGGCACGAAGGAGGCTGCTGACCTCAGAAAACACGCCCGAGGACTTATGCATGCAGCTGCTCATTCTCAAGATCCTCTATCTCCTCTTCACCACCCCTGGCACCCAGGAGTATTTTTACACCAATGATCTCAAGGTCCTCCTGGATGTCTTTATTCGAGATCTCGTGGATCTGCCGGAGGAATGCGAAGCGGTGCGTCTATTTCTGGCTGCCATGTCTGACCCCCCTTCAGCTCCGTCACACTTACCTCAGAGTCCTCTACCCACTTCTCAACCACACCCAGCTCAGGACCGAGGCCTACAAGCGACCTCAGATCAAGCTGGTCCTCCACTCTCTGATTTCCAACGACCACATTCGTGACATCGGGCCGACAACCAAACGTCTGGTCGAGCGATGTCTGGAGGAGACGCCGAAATTCTCCCGTCGTCATAGGTGAGAGTCGTTCAGGGCCATGCTCACGCCCCAGTGCATCCAATGTGCGCCAAGATTCCACGTGCTCGACCCTGTCCCTTGACTCGGTCGCGGCCGCCTTGCCCCGACCGACACATCTCACCACGTCAATCTACACTTCTTCTGATCCAGTCCGACTATCCTCGCTCAACGACGTTTCCAAATCGCTCGAAGCGCACGAAGTACAAGCCAATCTACCATCTCGACACCGAGCCGAATCGAGCGCCACGTCCATAGGATCTAATGACGGTCATCTGAGCGATGCGTCTACCGCAGGGCCACCTCGGAGACGACGAGCTGCGCCAGCTCCACCGTCCAAGCGGGGCTCGGCAACGAGTACGGCTAGTCTTTCGTCCATCGGCTCGACCGATGCCCGCAGTCGAGCCAACTCCGTCGTCAACTCGAGAGCTCAGACGCCCCAGATCCCAGGTGTCGTCGTAACCCCAGAATCTGAATACCCCCCTGGGTTTCATGATCTGATCGACCTTGGTGGAAAGAATGTTCCACCACCTATTATCGAGGTCAATCCTGTGCCTGCAGTGCCCGGCTGGATCAGTTTCACCCGATGATCCGGGTGGAGTGGTATCAGAGATTTGTACTCGTATATTCTTGATGTAACGATCGCTTGAATCAACGAGGCCATACCGAAGGGCTCTCAGTACATCTATAATGCTCACAGGGAAGGAGTACGGAAATGGTGCTCTCTGTCGAGTGCACTCGTGAGGCTGAAACGGCCCTCTGTGGATCAGCAATGTGTAGCTATACGGCTCAAAGCATGACATCTTAGGCCATCATGTAAGAGGCATAGGCGGAGACGAAGCGAGTTCGCCACTGAACCTCTTGTGCCACATGGACATCGTCGTAAATGGCGTCACCCGTGCTCAACCCGGCCGCCAGGGCCCAATTCCAGCGTTCAAAGGACAGTTCAACGGGTCATCCGATATTCATCCCATACCTCATATCCCGTTGCAGGCTGGTCAGCGGATAGAGATTGGAGCAACGGTCCCCCAGATTAAGACGGAAGAGTCCGTCAGTCGACTGCGCACCCACGTTCCGCATCAAATCCAAACTGTTGATAGTCTGACTCCTTGTTCTCCTCGCTTGGACCACCTGTGACTCGTTCTACAATGCCACCAAAACGTCCGCCTCCTCTACCTCCCTCCTTGTTCGCTCCTTCTGGACCTCTTGCTCCAGGTATGAAACCCATCTCCCACATAAGATCCCAGCTGATCGAGGTCTCGTGCTCTCTCCCATCTCGCAATGTTCACTCAATATTCCGCTGCAACGAAATTTACTTGGACACGTTGTCTTATACGTGATCATCCAACACTGGCCTACACTCTGTCGCCCTATCAGGCTCGGCGCCTCTTCCTCCCTCGCCCAGCACCATCCATCCTGAATACATCATCGATGCTCACTCGTTCCCGGATCGCCCAACGACCGATCCAAGTCCCATATTTGGAGGCCTCAGAGAGGATTTCCCCAGACCTCCCGTCAAGTCCGCTGTACAGGTCAAGATGAATGTATCTGCAGAGCCGGCTCAAGCCATCCTGTAGGTCCTCACTGAGGGATATGGCTGAGTCCGTAGCGGCGTCAAACCGTTCTCCATTCACCCTACTATCCTAAATCTCACACTTGCGACCCCACCCTCGATTACCAACATTGCAAAGGGAGCTGTTGACATCATTGTTCCCTCTACAGCCCCCATGACGGAAAAGGAGTGGGATCTACTGGAAGAGGCTGTCAATGCTCTGGACGGGACAGGGGTGATGCAGTCATTGAATGGAAAAAGTGACGGAATGGAAGTGGACGGTCCCAGTCCCGTTGGGACGGGAGGGAAGATAGTCATCTGTAGGTGCTCAGATCAACAAGTCTGACAAATTCCAGCTGGCTTGATGCCACCCCCGATCACCGCACCGTCGACAAAACTGGTCCACGACGAAGCCTACAATCTCCATATCTCCCGTCTCACTCAACTGTCTCTCCACGCAAACGTTTTCATCAAAGCTCTCCCTCCAGTCATTGACACGAAGGCAGTCTCCGTTGGAGAATGGCGCAGCGACCGTCAGGAGCTGGAGCGAGTCTTGCGCATGTACCGTGAGCGAGCCGAACGAAAACCGACTGACTTGCAGTATCGCCTGCTATCGAGGCGTTCGGGACACATCGAATCATTTTTGGCTCTGCCACCGCTCTGCCTCTAAAGGATCTTGCCAATGCGACCCTGGCAGATACCGCCCTCGTCCAACCCATCCCTTCGGACGAATGGTATGCCACGTTGCGTCGGTGTAGCGCTGCGTTAGGCGAGGAGACAGAAGCAGTGACTGCCATAATGGGAGCCAATGCCATGAGCGTCTATGGGCTACACACGCCTCCGCAGACATTCACCATGCCCGCTGCGCCAATGTCAGATGACGAGAAGATTCCGGCCTTGGCACCGTTCAAGGATACGCCTGCAGGTGTCATCTGAAGGGGTCCATATTTCAGGACTGGGTTGATGAGGGGGATCAGCCTGTGCTATCTCCAGTGCAGACCATGTTACATAACATCATGATTACGAACCAAGAAAGGCCATCTATGCAATGCAGAGACGCGACCTGTCATTCCGAAGATTTCCCGTCATATGTCCAAAATACTTTCAACATTGATCCTTGACAGTAAACCAATCATGGGACGCAGATTTCCGTGCCCGAGATGAGCATCTACAACCCCCTCACCCTTATACTCCTCCCTCCGACCCACACGGATCCGAAACCGTTGCCCACGGCCCTGGCAATCGACCCCTTGGCTGATTTACTATGGTGCGGCTCGTCAACGGGTGTGGTCTCGACCTACTGCTCCCCGTCTCATCTCTCCCCAAACGTCCGCTTCCCAGCTCATGGGGCTGATGCGTCCGGAAGCCTCCTCTCTGGTGGCAGCGGCAGTGTCAGGGGGATCCGCGTGACCGATAGAGAAGTATGGACGCTGACAGAAGGAGGAGTTGGTGGTCGAAGAAGAGGCGGAGCAGCCAAGTGGAATGTCAGCGATCCTGCCAGGGGACTGAGAGCAATGTGTGGGAACCCCACAAACTCTCACGAGGTCGTCGCAGGAGGCATGAACGGGCTGGTCATCGCCAACACAGCTCGAGGGGAGGTATTGAAAAGGGTGAGCTGAGGGTAAAGACGAGGTTGACGATGAATCAAGATCGATACGAGTCCTATAGTGCATCTGTCCGATGCGTCACGGAGTGTCTTCAGTGCATCTCAATCTGGCCAAGTGTCAATATTAGACCCACGAATCGGCTTCAAAACATCATCAACAGTGTCGCCCGTCCAGGCACATACTGGTGGTCTGAATGGTGTCGACGCAAGAGGGCATATCGTCTGTACATGGGGATGGACACATATGTGAGCAGTCGTCCGAGATATGGATCTTAACTCGCTTCAGGTCCGGTCATCCGCTACCCGATCCTCTCGTCCGCCTCTACGACGTCCGTACTCTCCGAGCTCTTCCACCCATCTCGTTTCCTGCGGGTCCTGCATTCGCCGTTCTTCATCCTTCAGATCCATCCAAACTCGTCATATCCTCTCAGCAAGGAATGCTACAGGCCATCGACATGGCCTCGGGCTCCAGTGGAGCTTTCGTCCAGCTCGACGTATCATCCTACATCACGAGCATGACGATGAGCTCGACTGGAGACTACCTCGCGTTTGGTGATGCGGATGGTCAGATTCATCTCTGGACGGCTCTGGACACTGAGGAGCGGAACGAGGATGGGACACTGGCACTGACTCCATTTGGCACCGGTGTACGCACAGAATGGCCCGATCCTCCAGACCCCCTGCCAAATGTGGAGTGGACAGATGCAACGTGAGCCGTGTCGAGGCCAATGACTGACCACAGACCTCTCAACGCCATTGGAATGCCGCACTACAACGAGCCACTGTTATCCTATTTTTCCACCACCGCATACGCCCCTGCCTCCTCCCCCTTCTTCAATCCACCTCCTCTCATTCCCGAGCCGGTCCTTGCCTCCATGAAGATGGTCGACTTTGTCGGTTACGCCACCATGCCCCATGAGCTCCGTGGTAAGCGATATGTTGTATCTGCTCGACCAGGCGCTGGGCGACGAGCGACCGACCGTGGCTTTGTCGATCGCAAGCAGAGTGGTCCCAAGTTCCTCAGCGAAAGGGACCGATGGAAAAACCTGTCTGTAGATGACGATGTCGGCGAGATCCCCAAGTGGTATCGCCAGGTATCGATCAAGTACTCCAAATTCGGTGTCGAAGACTTCGACTTTTCATTCTACAATCAGACAACACATAGTGGACTGGAGACTGACATCTTCAATTCGTATACCAACGCCTTGCTTCAAGCCCTTCACTACTCAAACCCGATCCGGTCGGTGGCAAAGGCACACATCTGCGTCGATTGCAAGCGCGAACACTGTCTATTGTGTGAGGCGGGGTTCCTCTTCCGTATGTTGGAAGATGCCCGGGGTATCAATTGCCAAGCGAGCAACTTTTCGCGAGCTTTCAGCGCGACTCCTCAGGGTGAGCATTAGCAGTTCCTCGTCGCTGACCATGAGCCACCGCACTGGGTCTCATCGACCTGGGCGATAAGAGAACATCTTATGCGGCACTGACTCAGAATCTGAATCGATGGCTATTGTCCACGTTCAGCGTCGAGCACCTAGACCTACGTCCATCCATTGACGACGTCTTGGGTATTCCTACAACTACCACTATCACCTGCCAGCAATGCGGTTTCACCTCGTCACGAGATTCTACCATCCACGTCATTGATTTAGCCTACCCTCGCAAGCCCGAAGGCACATTCACAGATATTCTCCACTCATCCATTGTTCGAGAGAGCTCCACGCGGGCCTCGTGTTCGAACTGCAGGCAGTTTGCTCTACTCCAGACGAGACGATCATTGGCCTCTTCGCTCCCTCCCGTGATATCTCTCAATCTAATGGTGACTTCGCCTGACATATTGGAGCTCTGGCAAGGCGACTTTCTGCCGCCGAGTGTGAGCGTAGCATCCCTCCCTGATGGCGATATTACTGTATCACTGGATGAGGACGGCGACGTCTACAACGTGACGGTAGGTGCGAGTTCGTAATTAGACTGACCGGGATAGTCTTTGGTCGCGCACATCCAGACGGAAGGCTCGTCTCACCTGGTAGCTTTTGCAAAAAGTAGGAGCCGTGCATAGATACAGCTGACACCAGTTTCCGGCGAATGGTTCGTTTTCAATGACTTTTTGGTCCAGCCCGTTCCGCCTGAGGAGGTGTTCACTTTTGAACCGTGGAAAATCCCCGCCGTCATTTTCCTCCAGAGACGTGACCTCAAAGTGGATGTGGATGCCTTGCCCACCCAACTTGGCCCGAACGCTCTTCTCGAAGACGTCTCTATAGCATTCAATCGTCGTCGAAATCTTATCAAACATAAAATCTTGGATCCAGAGGAGATGCCCCCGCGGGGTTCGCTAGTGTCAATCGATGCAGAGTTTGTTGCCCTTCAGCAGGTACGTCGCCATGTTTGGGCTCGAGCTGACGAGGCAGGAGGAAATGGAGTTCCGCTCAGATGGCACCAAAAACATTCTCAAACCGTCGCACATGTCCCTCGCAAGAGTCTCCGTCCTGCGTGGCGAGGGTCGAGACGAGGGCATCCCTTTCATTGACGATTACATTCATACTAGCGAGACTGTCGTCGACTATTTGACCGAATTTTCCGGTATCAAGAGTGAGTTGATGGCGCAGATGTCGCTCATGCCAGGTGGTGACCTCGACCCAAACAACTCACCACATACACTTGTACCTCTCAAAGTTGCGTACAAGAAGCTTCGCCTGCTGGTGGATTTGGGATGCATCTTCATTGGGCACGGTCTGTCCAAGGACTTTCGGACAATAAGTGAGTATTCCGCTGAAAGTCTGCCCTGACGTGAAGACATTTTCGTCCCTCCAACTCAGGTCATGGATACGGTCAACCTCTACGTCTTACCTGGTCAAAGGCGGAAGCTGTCGCTCCGCTTTCTGACCTGGTTCCTGCTGAAGAAAGACATCCAGACCTCGATGCACGACTCGATCGAAGATGCAAAATATGCCTTGCTTCTGTACAGGCTGTATCAACGGTTCGTGGAGGAAAACCGATTTGACGACGTGGTGGAAGATATTTTCTATGAGGGACAGAAGCTTGTAAGTCATACGTATCTATGTCACGCTCAAAGCCAGGGTTTCAAACCGCCTCTACAAGTCGAAGCCTCTCCTCAACCGCCTCAACCACAACCACCACCCGTCCACAGTACTCCCCAGCGTACTCCGCGTCAACATCCGAGCTCGCATAATCTGAGGGGGAGGAGGGGCCGCAGATAGACCTGTACATAGTTGTCAAGAGACAGCAGAGTCGTAGCTCACGCATTCTTGTCGAAAGCAGTCGCGTGAGCCAGAATCGCCACGTAAATTCGCCAATGCTATGTAGAAATCATTGTCCACGCTTTGGCATTCAGCATCACACTCACCATGGTAGCCAGCATCGTCGACAGTCTTGACGGCGCTATCAATCATCTGGCGTACCTTGCTGATGATCCTCGGATCGACTATCAGTCTGTCGTTGTCTGGTCGAGCTTCCTCACCACTGCCTTTGAAGTATGGTTGAAGTGAGTCTGAAATTCTGAACCCGACGACTGACGCTACTAGTCGACGCCAGTTGCGCCAGTATGACAAGCCCAAACCACCTCCTGAGCTGGCGTCACACATTTCGGACGACAAGTTTCGCAAAGCTCAGGCCTATGGTCGGGACAAGACCCGTTACTCTCTCTTCAAAGCAGTGTTCAACCAAATTTTGGGCTGGGCGATTATCCGTTCTCGTTTGTACGCCAAGCTATGGTACGTCACAGGAGGTTGGATGGATACTTTGGGACTGGCACCGAGCAGAACGGTGAGTTCGACCCTCACTCCAAGCTCACGCATAGATCGTCCATAGTATGATGTGGATCTCAACCCTTGTCGTCTTCTCCACGATCCCTTCCATCCCTTGGAACTACTACTACACTTTTGTCCTCGAGGAAAAGCACGGCTTTAACAAGTCGACTCTCAAGCTGTGGATCATGGACCAGATCAAGTCCACGGTTCTATTGGCTGCAATTGGTCTCCCTATCCTCGCTGCGTTCTTGAAGATTATTGAATTAGCTGGGAGGCGATTCGTCCCTTGGCTCATGCTCTTCCTGTGAGTTAAGGTCTCTGTATGTGCAACTCTGACGCCTTTTCAGTATCACAGTTCAGTTAAGCATGCAGATGATCTATCCTACGTTCAGTGAGTAGATCCTGCCTGGTCGTGCTGACCCGCCAGTTCAACCTCTCTTCAACAAGCTCACTCCTCTGCCCGAAGGGGAGCTCCGAACCAGGGTTGAAAACCTCGCTGCAAAACTCAAGTTCCCTCTGAATCATCTATACGTGATTGATGGCAGCAAGCGGAGTGGTCATTCTAATGCGTACGCAGAGCGGACGAATGTCAGTTGACTCGCCTACAGCTACTTTTACGGTCTGCCCTGGTCAAAACACATTGTCATTTACGACACACTGATGGAGCAGAGCTCGCCGGCGGAGGTGGAGGCTGTACTTGGCCATGAATTGGGGCATTGGTCTTACAGTGAATCACTAGCAGAGACAATCACTAATACGCTTCAGCACATCCAACCAAGCTCCTCTTGATCATTCAGTTACACCTTTTGACCACTTTGACAACCTTTTCCATCTTCATCCACAATCGCGCCTTATTCGACTCGTTTGGTTTCGACCCTCAACTGGCTATTACTGGGGTTGCAGGCGGCCCTCAGCCCATCATCATTGGATTCATGCTTTTCCAGCTGGTGCTCGAGCCTCAGGATACCGTTGTCAACTTTTTGATTCATGCTCTTACCCGGAAGTATGAATATCAAGCGGGTAAGTCAATAGTGAGACTCGCAGCTCATTTCGCAGACGAGTTTGCGGTCAAGCTCGACAAGAAGGAAGACCTGGCATCGGCCTTGATCAAATTGCACATTGACAACCTGTCGGCACCTCACAATGACAAGCTCTACTCAATGTACCATCACTCCCATCCAACGTTGCCGGAGCGACTTAGAGCTATGGAAACGTATGTCAGAGCTGTGGATGTACAGGGTAAGAAGGACCTTTAGAGTCCGGTTAATTGCCCGTCGTTCGTCCTAGATGCATCGAGATATGCTATGGATTGGCTTATGACTGGAATTCGGTCTTGAGCTCGCTGCCGTTAACGACAAACGGTTCCTTCGCTCCGCAACAGATGAAGGCCATTCTACACCACTGATCTGTCCTGTTAAACCATTGGTGCATCCTGTGAGAAATCAGGACGGCCCTTGATGCCAGACTCACGTGCCGCGCTGCACAACGACATCCCCAGGCTTTAATACCCGCTCTGAACCATCGTCGAGCAAGAGGGTCAACTCGCCAGCAATACAGATACCTGGTGATCAAGCTTGACTCTCTTCGTACTCACCATAATCAAGAGATACAGTGCGGTGCATCGGTGACTGCCCATGAGGCGGCGTATCGGTGATCCAAAATCTAGTCTTGTCCGAATCGTATATGGGCAGGCCTCCTCCTGGCTTTCCGGTATCCTCCCCAGATAAGGGAGATGGGAAAAGTGAGTCCCAAGCGATCTGTCCTGATTCAGTATACCCATAGCTCTAGGGCATTACTCACGCTCATCTGCGTCAAGGAAGCGGTATTTAATCTAGAAAATTGGGCTGGGCCTTCAGCTGTGATGGTGGACGAGCCGTCATCTGCGTGACCTGTCACGATACGATTCGGTGCGGGGAGGGGCGAAATCATCTTGACTATTTGGGCACAAGGGATGTTAATCTGACTCGTTAACCTGGCAATAGATTGTGAGGAGATCTGGGCATCTTTCCCCACCCTTAAATCTGTCATTACCAATGCCGGACAAGCGGAGATCTACTCATGCGCAGGGCGGCGTGTGCACGTTGTCCCAGATGCATGGGGAGATAAAACTAGACAAATTAGAGCTGATCATTCGAGTGTGCCAGCAATCCTGTTGTAGAGCTAATATGGAGTCTCGGAACCACGTCAAAGCATATATCGGAACGCCGGATGCTTGTCTCCCAACGCCACGATCTCCTCCCGAGTCATGCCCTCCAAGCCCCACTTGGCCAGATACTCGGGGCTGTCATACAAGTGACCCTCGTGGAGAGCAGGAGGAGGACCATAGAGCATGTCCCGTCGCTTGTTCTCCCGTCTGAAATAGATTGTCAAGATCCCGGCGCAGATGAAATTGAGGGCGCAGAAAGCAAGCGCTGTACCGTGACCTGGGAGGTATCTAGAGACACAATTTAGCAAAGCAATGTCTGACGGACTCACCTAGGCGCGTCCTTGATCCTGTACGCTTCTGAGGAGTAGATGCCTCCAGCGTTTCCGCTCATGAACACAATACCCATGGCGACAGCCTTTTTATCTGAAAGCCATCAGTGCTGATTCTCACCATCTTACGGTCGCTCACAATGGTTGCCCCAAGTGTTTCCCGTCCAAGCGATAGTGGTTCCTATCAGCGGACCGACGGAGCCTGCAGTGATAAAGACGGCAAAATAGAGCACACCGGGGACTTTGAAAGAAACTGTCATGAGCATGATGTAGCCGATGCAAGCCAGGAACGACCTGAGGTCAGCTCTTCTTCAATGAAGTTGGCGTACCAAAACATTAGGAAGAGGCCCCTGACTCGGAATCTGTCTGATAGGAAGGCCGTACCGACAGTAGTGATGAACATGAGCACGTAGGCTGTGTCCGTCAGCGCGTCCTTGTGATCGGGTAGCACTTACGCGGAGCACTCAGTAGAAGCGACTGAGGCGTAGTGAATCTGCCGAGAGACGCAATGATGGTGGGCGAGAAGAGTGAACCACTAATGGTCACCTCTGCCTCGTCTCAGCCGACTCACCTGTACAATGGCTCGGCGGCACCAGCATAGCACAGAGCCATAACATACACCTTCCAGTCCTTCAAGGCCGACCAGACCACGGAGATGCTGAATTTGCCTTCACCCGCAAGACCCTGTTCGCCTTTGAGTCTGTAGAGAACCAGTTCCCGCTCGAGTGGTGTGAGGAATTTCGCTCGGTCCGGCCAGTCATGGACCATCCAGAAGGACGCGACGGCAATTACAAACGTCAAGAGACCTTCCCAAACGAAGACCCAGGTCCAGCCCATCTTGCCCCCAACTCCTGCCATACGAGAAAAGGCGTAACCTGTGGGTGAATCAGCAGGCGATGACGCAGACCGGGTATCACTGACCTAGAATACCACCAAAGGCTCCTGCAAGGACAGCGCCTGCGAAGAAAATAGAGCATCTTCTGTTGATCTCTTCTCGACGATACCACCCGGTCAAGAAGAAGTTGAGACCTGGGAACTGGGAGGGCAATGAGCTCCGACCACGACCGCAACGACATACCAGACCAGACTCGAAGAAGCCTAAGCAAAATCGCAAGGCGAGAAGCTGAGAATAGTTGGTGACCAAACCCACTAAGCATACCCGTTAGGCCCCCACAACCGTTCTCCATATACTCACTGCAAATCTGGAAGATCGACCAGCAGACCTTGTGATAGTCAGCTCCTGGATCGTGCCGAGCCTTCCGCTCACCATGGTGAAGGGAATCCAACGAGATGGTCGAAACTTTTTCAAGACGAGATTAGAAGGCACCTCGAAGGCGACGTAGCTGACGAAGAAGACTGGGGTGTCAGAAGGTTATTCTTGTATGTCGCTCACTCATCGACGCGTTACTGTACTCCAGAGAAGTGAGGTGCAGCTCCTTGACCAGTCCTGGAGAAATTAGTCACGTCTCGTGCTCGCGTGTTCACCAGTGAGCTTGCCGACACCGATATTGACTCGATCCAAGAAGGACATCAGATATAGCAGCCTGGGGCTTCAGCGCGACCGACACATACGTGACCTACGTGATCCAGGGGATGATATTCAGGTCCATCTTTCTTAGTAATTTGCGTTCGGCCTCGGCATACTCTTCAGGACTCATAGCTGCAATCTGAGCGGCAAGCTCAGACTGATGGTCCGGGACACCGGTCGGATTCTTGTGACTCGGTTCAAAGGCGTGGATGCTGGTCTGGGCATCCTCGCCATATGTGGTATGCTTCTCGCCTTGCATTGTGGGTACGGTTCGTGTGAGATGTTCAACGTCAACAGACAGCTCCAAGAGGCTCGATTCTTACTCATGGTTTCCCACACAATGTGGCTTTTCCCTTCGGCCCGGTCGTTTTGAGGAACCGACGCTAAACTCGATGTGGACAAGATTTCATTAGCCGATACCCGATGTGGCCCAAAAAAGCAGCAAGTTCCTTACTCAATGCTTGGCTCGTACAAAGACGTGATGCTGCGCGGCTTCCGGAAGAGCAGATGAGTGGTCTCCATAAGCACTTGACTCGGCTCAATCTTGCCAAAAAGATCCTTGACCGACAGTACAAAGATTGAAGGAAATTGTTACCTATCTGTAGTCACCCGTTTGACGAACAGTAGAAAGATTTCTAAGATACAATGTAAACACACCAAAAAGAAATTCGGAAGCTGTTCCTGAGAGGATTGAACTCTCGATCTTTCGATTGCGGTACAAATAACAGTCGAACGCTTTACCAACTAAGCCAAGGAACATATTTTGATGCTTCAGAATGCTTCAGAACGCTGCGAACTATCCATGACATGTAGTATATATACCGTGTTTGTGCTGTAATAAACCCAAAACTATGACAACTTGTAGTTCGCTGTCATGAAAATTCATGCGTTGCAGTGGTTTGCGGGTGGGCAGCACACCCTGCGTCAGTCGTTGTCTCAGGCCTAGTGCTCTCCTACTGTCAAGCAAGAGTCATCGATCGCATCGCCCTTCCTGGTCCCGCTTCGCGAAAGATCTGATCTTGATCTTGGGTTCTGTTCGTTGCCGAGCCATGTTTTAGCCTGGTACAGTCAGGGGACCCAAGCAAAGGCTAGGCCTCGGGCGAAGTTGACCTGTGATCTATGATTGTCCGGTCGATGAGCCTCCTGCTACCCCTACATTGTATGCACCGCGGAACGTCCTCCACCACCTATGTTCAACTTTTGTCAAGCTTGTTCGTCACAACTTTCCCCACTGCCACAAGCTACACATTCGATGGTTGGTAACGGACAAATGACCCTGATGCCGACATACTTGAGCTATTTGATGTGTGTTTCGTGCAATTGTTCTCAGCATTCGGACAATTGTCCAGGTCATTCGAGCATTTGTTCAGTTCCTGCCAAAAGCCTCAAGGGATAATGATAATTGTCTGATAAGATGCGATTCGAAAAAAAGAAAATCCATTCGTGCAAAAAGGCACATCGTGGCATTCCCCTCTTCCGCCCTAACCGCCAAAGTGCCGCCTGGAGCGCAATGTTGTCATCGGAATGAAAAAGTTATAAATGTGAGCGCTCATCTATCGTTCGTTTCCATCTTATTGTTTGACATTCCTACCTTCTGTATTCTATCTGTCAGGCATCGAGTTCCCAGTCCTCTGTGATGTGTCAGTGCGATCCTAGGCTAGGATAGAATGTCAATTAGAAGTGTATTTCAAGAGTCTGTGAGTCCTCGATCTTCATGCTTGGCATTCTTCCTGACTCACGTGCAAGTTCATCGGACACATCATCCATAGTCTCTCTGGCCGTCGATGGCTCAAGTATCCAGAGGAAAATGCAGACTTTGTGCTGCCTTCAAAGTACGCTCTCAGAGCCAAAGAGGCATCATCTACGGGTGCAAGCTTGAGCTCAGCGCCGAGGTCGAACCTCGATGCTCTTCGGACGGACACGGTGGATTCTGCGCGGACTAGATTCGAGGATGGCGAATTAGAATCCCAAGGTCAGGAGGTCATCATCGTAGATTGGTACGGCCCAGATGATCCAGAGAACCCACAGAACTGGTGAGGATTTGTCTTTATTGACATTGCTGATCATATGATCAAGGTCTTTAGGCAAGAAGTGCTGGCTCACATTCTGCATCATGCTCATTACCACATCCGTCTACATTGGTTCCTCAATCTATGCTCCGGCTGTGCCTAGTGCGATGGAATACTTCGGAGTGGCACAAGTACCGGCGCTCCTGGGTATCTCATTGTTCGTCCTTGGGTACGGCATCGGTCCTTTGTTCCTCAGTCCCATCACCGAGGTAAGCGAGTCGCGAATGGTCTAGACTGACAGCATCAAAGGTACCCAAGATTGGTCGGACCATCCCTTACATCATCCCACTAGCACTTTTTGCCATCCTTCAGCTTCCAACTGCACTTGTCACCAATTTCGCTGGCTTTTGTGTCTTACGATTCCTCTCTGGATTCGTCTCCAGTCCACCTTTGGCTACAGGTGGTGAGCCATCAAACGTGTTCCTCGGCTTATACACTATAGGGGCTTCTCTCTTTGACATCTTTCGGCCGGAGAAGTTCGCATACCCTATGGGTCTCTACGACATTTCTGCCGCTGCGGGACCTACGCTCGGACCGGTCGTTGCGGCCTACGCGGTGTATGCGAAGAATTGGCGCTGGGCATTCTGGGAGCTCTTATGGATTGCTGGCTTTGCACTTCTCTTCCTGTCCTGTGCGCTGCCCGAGGTATGTCACCGGGTGTCATTCTAGAGCTGATATGTAGACATCTGCCGATAATATTCTCTATCGAAGGGCTATCAGATTGCGACGTCTCACAGGGAATCCGAACATCAAATCTCAATCTGAGATCGACACTGCCCACCTCGACTTCAAGGCTGAGATCCTCAATGCCATCGTCCGACCTATCACCATGACGTTCAAGGAGCCCATCGTGCTTGCGACGGATCTCTATGTCGGATACGTCTACGCCCTCATCTACTCTTACTTTGAGAGTTTCCCTTTGGTCTATGAGTACGGCTATGGCTGGTCAGGAGCCAACGCGAATCTACCGTATCTGGCCTTCATCGCCGGAGAATCTTTCAGCGTGATCGGCTATGTCATCTGGGCAAGGTGAGAAGATATCAAGATCGTGGCACGACTGACGAGACAGGCTGTACTGGGAGCCAAAATTCGCCGAGACTGGTGGTCACCCCAAGCCAGAGGCATCCTTGCCCATGGGCATCCCCGGAGGATTTTTCGCGCCTCCTACCTTGTTCTGGTTTGGCTGGACAGCCGTTCGGACGCATTGGATCAGTCCGGTATTGGCGTCTGCCGTCTTTGGCCTGGGCACTTCCTGGATGTGAGTGATAATTAAGGAGATTGCTGAGAGCACCAGGTTTATGCCGTTCTTGACGTATCTGCCGCTGGCTTATCCGAAATACGCTGCATCAGCGTTAGCATCGAATGATTTCGTCAGGTCACTGATGGGTGAGCCAAAAGCCAACGGTCTTATGTCTGACCACCTTCAGGTGCGGGTATGCCGCTCGCCGCTGCACCCTTGTTCCACAATTTGGGCATAGCCTGGGGGAATTCCCTCCTCGGGTTCATCGCCATCCTTTTCGTCCCTGTCCCATGGCTGCTATTCGCATATGGAGGGAAATTGCGCAACAAGAGTCCGATGGCACTGCATGATAGCGATATAGAGAAGATGAGGCAAAATTCGGCAGCGTGAGGCTTGGTCGGTTATAATGGATCAACCGGAACATTTGCATAAGCATTGGATATTCGCATACATTCATACCTGAGATTGCATATTCTGTGAAACCCCAGGTCCCGAAGGAATTGAACATACTTCTACGATGACTATGTATCCACCTCCTTGGCAGGTGCCCTCACATCTCCCAAGCGTCTAGGCCATGACTTCCCGTATACTTGGCTCCCCGAAGTTTGGCTCAATTGTCTTGTTGCCACTCAAAAAGGAAGGTGAACAAGAGAATGACGAGAATCCGCCACACAAAGTCTATGCCAAGAATCACTTTCACAGATCCTTTGAGACAACCCAAGAACAACTAAGCGACATACCGCATTTCTTCGAGTTTCCTTCTCACACCCTTGGTCGCTGAGACCAAAGAACTTGACCCCCATTGATTACCAGTCTGTCACCGTTGGACATCCCCCTCAGTCATCATAGCTTCACCATGCAACCACTCACCGCCGCATCGTTCACCTTCATCGCCAAGGCTGTCGTCACGTTCTGGGCCGTCGTGTTGATGGCAGTGGCTGCAGCTCTGCAAGCAAAGTTGAACGACTATTGTGGGTGATGTGTTCCAACAACAGTTCTGACATACAGATGGAACCGATGCCATTCACAATAGCAATCTCTCCGGCGCCAATGCCCTCATCGCGGCTTGCGTTTTTGTGATTCTGTACTTTGTCGCTCAGTGAGTGCCGCGACATATTCAGATGGTCGCAACTAAAATCGATAAACTTCACAGATTCTTCATACAGCGCCGCAAGCCCGACTCCATCCTGGTCTCCACAGTGGTGGATGTCAGCGTCATCGGGTTTCTCTGGATCCTCGTCCTTGGCGGTGTTGCGGCAGAATCATCCGTTGCGGATGTGTTTGACAGGTGTGATAGGTTCACGACCTGCGAGTGAGTCATCTCCATAGTCTAAACCATGCCATATGCTGAAGCGTTGCAGCTATGGTAGTCTTGGTAAAGCCGTGCTCGGTCTCGGCTGGCTATTCTTCTTCATGGTATGTGAAAATGATTTGAACACCATCTGACCCTTCAAGCTTCTCGGCCTCTTCTGCTGGATGTTGATCTACACTTTCATGCACTATGGATCCTCTTGGTCAGTCTGGAGAACTCCGTTCGCCCTGCTTGTAGAGCGAGGTGCCCCTGTAGCTTCAGGTCGAGATGTCGAAAACAAGCCCGGAGTACCTGCTTCCACTGACCATCAACAACAAGCCCATCACACCGCTCAACCTGCTTCTACCACGTATCCTCCGGCGAACGATCCTGTAATGGGACAGGCTCCGCTTCAGATGTCACAAACTCAGCCGACGAGTACTCAGGCTCAGACCTAGTCGCAAGCTTTTGTTCGCCTGCCTTTTTTTCTTTTGTTGTGTATATTTCTACTCAGACGTTGTTATTATAGCCCGAAGTCGTGCATATGATCATGATACTTCGTTCGCGTCTGCCGGATGTCCAAGCGAGAGGTCGGAGTTACCATTTCAGAGGTCGAAGACACCATGGGGATAAGACTTGCCCCCGGCCTGGATCCCCCTGCGAATACAGGCCGGCTGACCAGAGGTATTGACTTCCAGACACAAACATATCCGGCTCGAGGCTCCTACTTGGATGCCGAACCCCTTGAACAGAGTGTTGAGCTAGAGTAGCCGGAAGAGAGGGGATATACAAATCGATGATAGGGTTAAACTGCGACTCGTCGCAGGGCCGAACTACATTTGCACGAATGAAGGTTTATCTTCTGTAATCGGAAATCCCGAAAACTGACAGGAATTCTCTGTCCTTGCACTAATGGTTTTTGGATCCCCAAATGCCCAGATATTCGGCAATTTTGCCGGAATCAGCACCAGACTTTTGAATGCTCAGACTTTTGCACGAACGCTTCCAGGGTCCATCCACACAGTTCTGACACACTCAGTCCTCACACACAGTCCTCAAACACAGTCCTCAAACACACCATACACACCACGGTACACCGTGTTCTGCCTTTCACGTTATAACATTGTTTACGCGTTTTGGGCTCTTCACTAACGTCCATTTGGTTCCGTCCATAAAGCTGTTGTGGCCGTCTCTTCGCAGTCAGAGAGGCAGTGATGTACGTTGGGTCTGTATGTCACGAGGACACTGCTCTCAGAACCTTCATGTGTCATCTACAATAGTACCTCCTCAAGGCATAACTCCACTCGATTACCAGTATCCAAATTGCTTCTCCAGACCGCCAAAGTCCATCGGCCAGTCCTCCTTGTCAGGTCCAAAGTAGCCTTGCTCGGGTATAGGCAGGAGGGTCGCATTCTGAACATACGATTGATAGTCGACACCAGCAATCTGGACGTTGTTGCCCCACCAATCGATGCGGATACCGTCGCCTCCATTTGAGAATGCAAAGATGAGGGTTTGGACAATACTATGTAAAGTCAGTCGAGTTTACAGCCACATCTTTTAAACTCACCCAGACAAGGCAACACCGATACCGAATCCAGCAGCGATGAGATAGTTGTACTTCTCCCACCATGCAGAGTAGCGACGCTTGACATGGTACATGAAAATAAATGAGAGGTAGAGGCCATTGGTGGCATAAGTCAAGTTGGAGCCACCCGTCCAGTGAAGTGCGCCTGACCAGAAGATGGCCGGGTCAAACCAAGCGAGAAGAGACAAAGGGTAGAACAGGTACTTGTCCCAAACGGCGTATCGAGCTTCGTTCCATCTGTTCTGGCAGGACTCTCGGATCTGAGGTCCGTACTTTTGCGTGACGGCAAAAGCGATACCGACGAGAGCTCCGATGAGGAAACACCAGGGAAAAAGAGGATAAAGCTTGAACATATTACGAACACCAAAGGCTCCATATCGGACAGCTGATCCGTAATATAGCACAGCTGACCCACACACAAATCGTTGAGGGTTCGACCAAGTACACAGAGTACCACCTCCGTTGAAATTTTCTACCATCCAATTCAGGAGACCGATGAAAATTAGACAATTGAGAAAGACAGCAATGAATTGAGCGCGGAATATGGCTCGAGGAGGTACCTTGGCGTAATGCGCAATCTTGAGGTCCGAAATATAGCTGTCGGCTTGGTGATGAAAGTTAGAGGAGACGGCTTGCATGATGATTTGGGCCTGTAATTAGTCAGTCTCACCTCTGATGAGGAGAACGGACCTGAGGATTTCCGGCAAACCAGATGCCGGCAAGAACCTGGAACAGGACACCTGGGTGGTTCAGCAAGTCACAAAATATGCCCATGTGAAGCCAAACAGACGTGCATACACACCTGTGTGGAAGGTAACATTAGCTGAGGCGAGCAGGATGGCCGAAGGCACGAGAAAGATGGAGTTTAGAACCATGACTGTGAGTAGCGACCACCAAGGTGTGTGCGTTGGCCAGCCTTCCAATGCTGCGACACCTGTAACGAATGCGAAGAGCAGGATCAGAAGGAACCACCACTCAGGCACTTCTTTGTATCTGATCATCAGCAACGACCGAGAGAGTCACCCACCGTCGGATCATTCGCGTGTGGGCGTCATTATGACCATCATAGATCGACGAACTTCTCGACACGATCGAGTGCCAGATACCCTTGAATGTGTTTGACATTGTGTGCCAGTTCTTGATCGTGACATAGAAGAAGACCATGGCGTACCAAGCGAACCATGCTCCTTGGCCAAAGACATCGGCAGCCGAGAAGAACGGAGGTCCGTATTCGGCGTAAGCAGTGACATTCACGTACCCATTGTCTCCCATGATTCGGGAGACGTTGTAACGTTGACCAGTGTTGTCAAACGATTCGTTGGAATTGATAGGCATGTATGCTCCCCAGTACATATTGCCCCAGTGCATTCCGATGATGATCAGACCAGAGAGGACTCGAGCGATGTATTGCTGGAGGGTACTGAAGAATGGAGTGACCAGATCTCCATCACCCGACGTATTCCAATCAAATGTGGACCAGGGGTTGAATCCCATACCTCCATAGGAGCCCGTGATCATACCGAGCGTGTAATTGTTCGGAGCGATCCAAGTCATCCAGTTGAAGAGACGTAGGGCTTGCTGTCGTGCGCGTCAGCGAAATGGGAAGCCTGCCACATCCAAAATGCCACTCACAAAAAAGGTGTTTGGAATCCAAAACCATACAAACATGAGGGACGCACATGTGACGAAGAATCGGTATCGAGTCACTCGCCATCCATTGATGACCTCGCCCTTGCGTTCTTTGAACATGAGGGCTCTGTTGAGAGCAAGTGCTGGAAGTATTTTCGGCCAAATAGCTGCCACTGGGAAAATAACGAATCGACGCAAAATTCCGGCGAACCCGAAGCCTAGGTACTGAGTGCACAGGGCGAGAAGTATTTCGTAAGGGAAAGAGACCCAAGTCTGATTGAGATACTGTGGAAGCATCTGAACGAGGTAGACATAGTAGGTTCCTCCTGCACCCGAAGCGATGGTGAACATGACTGTACTGAGGGTCTGTTCCTTATACGTCCAGGGACCGGGATTGAGGGCAATCTTTCGTCCTCCCCACAAGGGAATGCTCCAGTCGGGAGCCACCTTGGCAA